CTGGATCATTTACATCATGCGTCCAGTGAAGAGGCCATGCAAGAGATGTTATCCTTCCAGGGAGTTGGACCTAAGACAGCTAGCTGCGTCTTGCTCTTCTGTCTCCAGCGTGAGAGCTTTGCGGTGGACACGCATGTCTGGCGCATTACGGGATTGTTGGGGTGGCGACCCAAGAACGCCACGAGAGATGAGACACACGCGCATTTGGACGTCATGATCCCAGACGAGGATAAGTACGGGTTGCACATATTACTTGTCACGCACGGAAAGAAGTGTGAGGAATGTCGAGCCGGCGGGAAGAACCTAGGCCAGTGCGAACTTCGAAAGGCCTTCCGTGAGAAGAAGATGGAGGGCGAGGCAGGAGAAGAGGCGCAGCAAGAGGAGATGGAGGAAGTCAAGAAAGAAGAGGAAGAGGACTGACCAGGAGCCCTCTGTATAGATTTGTAGTATTACTCGGTAGTTGTGCCACGAATGAAGTGTTCTTGTACATTAACAACGGGAGCAAGGCTGGATCTGATCCAGTCTGGAGCAGTGGTATGTACGTAAAACCATGATGCTGGTGGCTTTTTGGGCTTCGGGCGTTTTGCGGGGGAAGCAATGTATCTAACTGGTTTGTTTGTTTTCTTTTAATTAGGATGGAAGCTTGGACAGTGACTGGAATGTGGCTGAAATGGACAATTTGTGATGATGCCAGTGACCCAAATTGGTCTTTTCGACAGCGGTCAAAACCATGATGGATGGAGAGGTAGCAATAAGGGTGCATGCAGAGTGGAACGCTGCAAGGACAAGGAACAAGGAACAGCCTACATCTCTCTCTCTCTGGAGTCTGTACTGCGTCGGAGAATTTCTGTGTCAACCAGTGTGTCACCAAGAAGAGTCGCAAGATAGATGAGGTTGCACTAATCGGTACGTAATAGATCATGTCCAAGTACGAGGTGTGCCTTCTGTTCTCCGTACATGCTCTCAGCGACAATGTCCGCGTGCCCAGTCAGATCGGGTCAATTTGGGCCCGCTACACGGTGTTGGTTGAGAGGTCGGATTGCTGTTGAACGGAAACAGCCCCTGAGCCATCTGGGAACCCCAAGAGCCCCAAGGAGGCCATGAAGCATGGAGCAGACTGCAGTACGCAGTACTTAGTGCCGATTAGCCTTTATTGGAGTGCAGCTGTGGCTTGGACCCGCCGCCCATGCACCCAATGACAGGGCCTGCCCTGGCTTCCTGGGTTTCGGGACGTTGCTCGGCTGCCAGTCCAGACGGCGGCCAGGGCTAATGAGGGCGCACTACTTACGAATAGGCACTCTACGTAAAAATAACAAGGGGAACGGCGGAGGGGGGGCGCCTTTATGCAGGTCAACACTCGTTTTGCCCACCTGTTTCTAGTTAGGTGTCCCCCCCGGTTGAAGTTGCATGAGCTGCTTCTAGCCTGCACATCACTCCATGACTGCCCCAACTGCACTGGTGCCCGTTGTCCATGATCTTCAAGCCGGGGGTGGCCTGTTACTGTCTGCCACCATCTTTGCAAAGAAAAAACGGTTCGCATGCTGTGTGGCCATCCACGGTCTGGCTGCGGTCGCCCACGAAACTGACACTGCAAACTATACCTCGTACTCCATCTTCTCCCTACCTGCATCTTGCATCTTCGGATCTCATTTTTCCAACTATTCTCACCTCATTTTGGCCATACGCCCATTACCACCGACGTACACTCGTTTTCTCGTTCATCTCTGCTCACCCTCATTACCGCCGCAGTCATTCGCTGGCTATTGTTGATCGCTCACTGTCATCATTTTATTCTGGGCGACGTTCGGTCACCAGCTCCGTCGCCACGACATCCAATCCTACTTTTATCACCCCATCAGCTGCGAACTCCTCTCGCCAGCCCCCAGACTCTCGTTTGTCGGACCTGCTCCCAAACTGAAGCTGTAACCACCTCAGCCACCCTTCTATCCTCTTGGAGACTCTTCCTGGAGACCCTTCCATTGTCTTGTCCGGTTCCCCAGATCCTCAATCCATGCTCTTCTTTCGCCTTTTCTCCGACTCGATCCATCAACAAAACAGGCAACATACACCCAAGGTTGCCACGCGCTATCGAGACACAATTCATTCTCTCCGTCCACTCTCCCTCCAGCGATGACTCGCCCAAACTTCATCGAGTTGCCCCCTCAAGACAGTCGTTCGACCAGTGTGCTATCGAGACATGCTCTGTCACCGCGGATCCAACATCTTGACGGCGACGTCCCCCCTGCGCTGTCGCCATTGGATGCCATTGCTGCCCGAAGTCGAAAACTGGCAAAAGAGTTGGAGGAAACCAGGAAAGCGGGCGAGCGACGCATGAGCAGACTTCCACCTCAAGTCGTGACGGATTCCCTGACCGAACACCAAAACAATCGACCTCCCATCTTTCGAGCCTTGTCCGATGGCCTCGACACTGTTCCACCTCTCCCAACATGGGACAAGGATCGCGGCGGTAGTTTCGCACGCGTTGCTCATCCTGTGAACCGCCCAGCTTCCCAACGCGTCCGTGTGAGTGCCGTTGTCCAGTCAGGCGAGCATCAAGAAGGCAAAGAACCCTCTCCGGTGCAAGATTACTTTGGCGCCCCTCGAGTAGAATCTCCTCCACCAATGGAGCCCAAGAGACCATTCTCACCCTCTCATGGCGTGGGCAGTCCTTCTCTGCGTCCTCAACCTGAACTTTTAAGACAGGTTTCGGGTACCTCTCAATCGGATCTTAGTGCAACTTTGGCACCTCCACGATCATGTTCAAACAGACTTCGACCCTACCAAGACGCCTCTGACGACGACTATACCAGTTCCAACGCGGGATCGACCTTTTCGCAATCGAGGAAACTTTCGTCCAGCAGCGGCATCTCTGCTCCCCATTCTCCAATTTCACCCTACGCGCAGTCTCATGCTCGATCACCCTCCAGCACATCACTCGGGTCCCCCACTCACAAGATGCCGGCGCGGAATTTCTCACGGCCCTTGAGTTCAGTCAGTATGGGCAACCTCAAGGGCGAGAAAAGCCCGACCAAAGCCACCTTCGCCAACCGGTTGAGCCAGCTCCGGGCTGCGAACTCTTTTGATAATATCGCATCGCCGGTTGATGGATATCTGGCTGGAGAAGCGTCTTCGTACACTCACGCGACCTACAGCTTGCCTAGAGGCCGCGTGATATCCGATCGGACTTCGGGAGTCTTTTCAGGGCTCTCTACGCCCCATTTTGAGTGGCAAGAACCAATGTTTCCTTGCACGCCCCCGTTAGAAGGGAAATGCAGCACAGAGCTTCCCGTCCCATCTCCAATTGCATCTGCTCGTCCCAGCAGAGAAGACCAAAGTCATCAGAGATCGGGCCTATCCTTTGAACTCAATACGGAGCACGCATTGACCGCTCCTGACCGCCCTACCCCCTCAACGGCATATTACACACCAACAGGGTCTCTCAGGTCGAATGACTCTTCAAGTTCGCGACCCTCAATGGGCCAGCTTCCTCATCCAGCCTCTACGTATGTGCTTCCTCCCACCCCGTTATCGCCTGTCGAAGAAGCATCACATTCTTCACGGTCGACAAGCACAGTCCGGCCGACAACTAGCCGGTCTAACAGCAACTACCAAGGACTCTCCATGGATGAGCATGTAACCAAGGCGATCGAGCTCCATCAAGAGGGCGAACTGAAAGAATCGACATATCACCTGCGCATAGCAGCAAACAAGGGCCACCCAACCGCGATGCTACTGTACGCGCTCGCTTGCCGTCATGGCTGGGGCATGCGAGCGAACGCCAAGGAAGGAGTACAATGGCTTCGCAAGGCCGTCGACTACGCAATGCTCGAAGTTGCGGATGACGAAGACCCTGCAAACCAGCAGCCTAGGGTCGATGTCAATGAGAAGAAGGCGCATCGAGCCCAATTTGCGCTGAGCATATATGAGCTTGGCGTGTCGCATCTCAATGGTTGGGGCGTCGAGCAAGACAAAGCCCTGGCTCTTAGATGTTTTGAGATTGCCGGCAACTGGGGTGACACAGATGCTTTGACCGAAGCGGGCTTCTGTTACGCAGAAGGCATCGGTTGCAAGAAAGACATGAAAAAGGCGGCCAAATTCTATCGGAGGGCTGAGGCAAAGGGCGTCAGTATGGTTGGAAATAGCTGGTAAGCGATGGCAGCTTTGTGGTTGGAAATTGTTCTTCCTATTAACTGGGCACAGGATCCACAAGGAGAAATACAACGACTCGGACGACGAGACTGAAGATAGAGCACGATCTCTGAGGAAGACGTCGGCGGAGAAGACGCGCAGCAAGTCCAAGTCTCGGGGGATTTTTGGACGAAAGAAAACATCTCTCTAACCTGACATGGCAATAGAGGTCTTTGGCTGGACCTGGACATATTGCTCTGGCAGTGTCAAAAACGTGGAGATGACTACTTCGATATATTGCTCTGGAAGCTCAAAATTTGACGACTCCTGCGAAGGCCCCTCTTATTTTTGATGGCTCATGTATTATGAAATCGCGTACATTATTTACACATGGGGAATAGGGCTCGTCTTGTTGCTCTGCAGGAGCTGGGCTTGGACCTCTTTCTCCCTGACAGGAAGCGCGGTACATCTTTTGACGGTTTCGGGCTGTGTCTAGGATATGATGCTACTAATTGCTAGAGGACTTTAATGAATGAATTCTCGACAGCCTGCTCTCCTGTAAATGTCAGTTTGTTATTGGCCAGCCTGGTCAGGGGGCGAGGGGCTTTCGGAATGACTAATATCCATCCTATGGCTTTTCCAATGCAACTCCAGGATCCTGCCCGTATAAATGCGGCCATGGGAACGATCTCTTCGCTGTGTTTCTTTTCCGATGAGATGATTATGAAGCGGAAAAACCAAGACACCAGATCTTGAACCCACGGGCACAACATCCATTCGCGCCGCTTACCCCTGGAGGCTTTTTGCCATCAACTCACACATACTCTCTCTCTTTCTCTCTCCTTCTCTCTCCTTGCCGAACTCTTCTTGTCATGAGTCATGACCAAGTTCGGCCGAACAAGGCAAATGAAGCCAATCAAACATTACGGGGAACCAGGATAGCAACGAGAATGAGAATCAGGTTCTCGGCCCTCGTGCCGCAGCAGGTTCCCGCGCTGCTGGCCAAGCTCGAGGCTCACCTGCCATATTCCATCCCGCTGTTGCGCAGGATCCAGTTCCACCTGCACCAGCCCGTTTCGCAGACGGCAAAGATCTTTGTCGCCATTGCTATTAATGATGGTGACGATGATGCTCCTGTGGAGACGGACAGGGGCGGGGATGGTGATGGGCAGATACATGACCGGAGGAAGAGTGAAGTCGGAAATGATTCGCGGGTTGTGGATCGGTGGCTGAGAGGTTCTTATGGGAGGGGCCACGATGAGAAGACCACGGCAGCGGCAGAGACAGAGACGGAGGCAGAAGCAGAGGCAGACTCGCAACCGTGGATTGCAGCGCACATCGACCTCGTCAACGCTGGACAGACCCAGGTCTGGGTATTCGCGAGCTGGGAGGCAGATGGACGAGATCCTTTCCCATCGTCGATGTCGACCTCAGCCTCAACATCACAATCACTATCACCGTCACCCGCATTCTCCTCCTCCCCCTCTTCTTCTTCTTCTTCCACCAACTCTTCCGCTTCCTCACCTGCTTCTCCAGTCCACGACGCCCTCGTGCGCGCTCTCTTCCACTACATCCGCAACGACCTCGTCCCCAGCCTCCCGACTTCCCCGCCAGACGAGTGGCTGGAGCTGCAGCGTACGGGCAAGTACCTCTCGACGCCCTACTCGCGGGACAAGGTGCTGTTCGGAACCGTCGGCGAGAAACTGTGGCGTCATTTTCCGCTCCAGGCCAGGACCAGGACCGATGCCGGGTACTGGAAGTATTTGTTCCGGGTCTTTGAAGGAGAGAAGTCACTACCGTCATCGTCGTCATCTTCGTTGTCGTTGTCCCAGAATCAACATCATAATTATGATGATGAGGGTGGTGGTGGTGATCGTGAAACAAGGACACCGCCAACCTCCTCCGGCGTCCCATCCTCCTCCATCCCTCTCCTTCCACCAGGCTACGAATTCGGCCCCATGCGCCCGTCAGACCTGCAGACCGTGCTGGACCGCACGCCCATCCCGCGGACCCTGGCCACGCTGCGCCAGTTTGTCTCCCTCGGCCTGTTCCACCGAGGCGAACAAGCAAGCCCCGGTTCCGGTCGGGGTCCGGCCGTCGGCTGGGGCTTCCTGGGCAAAGACGCCAGTCTTTCCAGCCTGCACACCGAGCCCGAGCATCGTGGCAAAGGCCTGGCGGTGGCGTTGGGCCGCGAGCTCTTGAGACGCCAGCATGTTGTGTCTCCTTCAGATGCCGCGGCGGAGGCGGGGGTGGAGGTGGAGGAGGGGAAAGGGGGAGAGATAGCACACGGTGAAGTCGGACACGGACACGGGAATATATCGAGAAAGCCGACAATACGCTCCTCCCCCAGCACCACCGGCGCCAAAACCTTTACTTGGGCCCACGCAGACGTCTCCCAATCCAACACGGCGAGCCGGCGCGTCATGGAGAAATTGGGCGGCGTGGCCCTGTGGATGGTCATGTGGACAGAGGTGGACATGGAGAAGATGCTGTCCTCCTCGGGGTCCTCGTCGTTGGCGTCATAAAAACTTCCAAGGACACGGCACGAGGATGCACGGGAGCGCGACGATGTAAGACGGGTACCTTGCGATGCTAGACAACCTATGGCGAGACGAAGAAAAGATGCGGCATGGTAAAAATATATGTACACATTTACACATATAAATAGCAGTATAATATATTCGAACACACTCTGTATAACTCGGATATTAAGCACGTATATCTATCTATGTATAGATGTCTTGTGCAGTGTGAATTCTGTAGGGGTGTTGGTGTGGGGTATTGATATCCTATGTATGTCCATTGTTCGTCACAAGTCGTCAAAAGGTTCTCCATATTCGGAGTCAAAAGAACAGCATCAACAGCAGGAGCGGCAGCAGTAGATCATTATGCAACTTGCAAGCCGCCCGCATACCTATTCTGTCATCCTCCCGTCATCTTAGACAGCCGCGTCGAGTCATCGGTTTGTGTCAACGCCGCGCATGCGTTAGGCTGGGCAAGGCTGGCTAGGCTGAGGATACTGGCAGCCAGTGTAAATCCGTCTGGAGTCATGACACCTGGCTCTTCCCAGTCATTCCTTCCAAAGCGATTGGTTCGTACCAGGCAAGTTGTAAAGGGTAGTGCGGGCTTCTACCACATTCCTAGTCCGCCTATACCTTGCCAGGAATCTCGTCAACTTCCTCGGTCCCGGCTGCTTTCAATTGCTCTTGGTGTTGCACATTTGCAATTGCCGACTGTAAGGCGCTCGTCAAGTCAATGTGGAAGAAAGGCCTATTCAAGCTGTGAACCACAGCAACTCTCTTGGTCGAGGTCCGGACGTAAGCCTTGCTATGACTAATCTGCTTCGACAGATCACCGTCCTGGCTGGAGCTCGTCGTAGAGTCATCCTTGTACTGCGCCCGCGTGATGTCGTCGGTTTTGGAGATGCCGCTACTATTTGGTCGTGAGCCGCCTTGCTCTTCGTCATGATGCTGACGAGACAGTCGTCGATTGGCTTCATCCTCGGCAGCTGCGGCGGCAGACGATGCACCGCCGATTTCTGCAACACTGAAGATGGGCTTCCAGCGATGCTGCTCTTCCGTGGGGACCGTGGGAAAGCCGAAGCCGGCAGAAGCGAGAGCTCGCTTCGTCCAACGGTTGTTAATGCAAGCAAGGTGCCACTGAACAGCTTCGGGGCTGGCATAGCGGTCGAGCTGGTTGCGGACGTCGATCAGATTCTGAACACTGGTAACGTCGACATTGTTGACGGAAGAGAAATCCAGAATGACAGCTTTCAAGGTCGGCAGGTGAGATCGGTCTGGTTCGGACTTGCCTCTTCGGGGGCCAGGATTGTTCCATGGGCGGTCTCCCGGCCGAGGCCATGAGTCAGGGTTGGTCCGCCGCGTGTGCTCAAAGATATATCGGACAAGATAGTCGGTGTAGTGGTTCGCGTTGGGGTAATTGAAGCCTTCACTAAATCGATAGATGAAGATTCCCGGATAGGGAGATTCGACATGGATGGACGGATTCGAGCCGTCGTGGTGATCCAGGGGAAGGAAGATATTTCGCGCGGCCTGGTCATCATCGGACATGCGTGGTTTGTCATGGAACTTGTCTTCAACCAAGTGGTCACCAATGACCGAATGAATCTTGACCTTCCCGACGAAGTGGCCACGTGCCTTGACAACTCGGAACAGAAGAACAGCAGCGCTGACAGAAATAGTGGTGTAGATGCCATTCTCGATGGACGAGAAGACGGTCACCAACACACCTGTGAAAAAGATGAGGACTTCCAGCGGCGACACGCGCCAGAACTGGTACACCGTGTTGGGAGGGGTGATCAAATCACCGACAGCATGGATAATAACAGCGGCAAGGCCGGCGTTGGGAATGTAGAAGAACATGGCTGGAAGAGCATAAATGGCTAGGAGTACCACTATGGCCGTAATAACACCGGCAAACGGTGTCCGTACGCCAGCCTTTGACTTGATGGCGGTCCGAGAGAAGGAGCCGGTAGCGGGATAAGCTCCCAAGAAAGGGCCAAGCAGGTTCGTGACACCTATGGCGACCAGTTCCTGTGACGGATTGATGGTATAGTTGTTGATCCGGCCAAAAGACTTGGAGATGGCAATGTGTTCAATGAGCATGACAATGACAGATGCCGGAAGCTGGTCCGCAAAGTAGCCGATGATGGTCGTGTCGATCGTTGGCACTGCGGCGTGTTTGAACCCACGCGGGACTTTGCCCAAGATACTAAAGATGGGCTTCTTGCGATGATGTCGGTTCGAGAGATAGCTGACCAGGATGTATACGCAAAGCACAAACGAAGTTCGCAGCGTGTTGAGGAAAAAGAACAGTTTCGCTCGGTTTGGGTATTTCTTTGCACAGCGGTTCAAGATGAATCGGATGAGATAGAGGAGGAATAGCGCCGTCAAACCGATAGCGGCGTCGAGTTTGGTGTGCCCGAGATACTTGAGGGTGTTGATCACAACCAAATAGGTTGAGGCACGAGTGTTGAATCCTTTGACCTTGATCCCCATCAGAGTGGGCACTTGACCGACAGCAATGTTGAGGGCAGAACCGGTGATGAACGCAGAGATGGCTGTCAAAGGAATGAAATCCACAATCCACCCGCACCGGACGATCCCAATAAAGCAGATGATGGCGCCTGCAATGATTGCCAAAGCGGAAGCAACAACGTGGCCGGGAACATCTGGATGCTCTGCCACGACTTTGTTGACGACATTTCCGGTAATGGTGGACATGACAGCGACAGGACCGATGGTGATGTCTTTGGAGGTGGCAAAGAACCAGTAGATCAGGACCCCCATGAAGGAAGAGTAGAGTCCATATTCGACGGGAAGCTCAGCGAGTTTTGCGTAAGCCATGCTCTGAGGCACGACCACGGCGCCGACCGTGATGCCAGCGACCAGATCCCCAATCAACCATTGGACGTTGTAGCGCAGAATCCAGTTGGTGAAGGGGAACAAACTGCGAAAGTAGACCAGCATATCATGTCCAGAGGGAATGAGATCTCGGACCCAGTCGATGCTTCTCGGCTCATCCTCGATATAAGAGTCAGCTGTGCTGACCGAGTATGTTGATTCGCCTCTGGTCACTGCATCTTTCTGTGCCTGGCGCTCGTCGAGGTTGATAGCGAGGACCTTAGCCAGCCCATGGCCGATCTTGGAGGAGGTGGCCGCCATCGTCACGCCTAACAAATCTAGTCAGAGATCTGAAAGAACGTGCTTCCTGCCAGTATACCGCAAAAGAGAGGGTGCCCAAGGTCGACCTGCTGAGAGAAGGTTGGAAAGAGAGTATATAAAGAAGAGGGGCTGTCGGAGTGGACTTTGCAGAGTTTGAATACCCTGGGTTGGGAAGATTGCTCTGGCGCGACTAGGGGGTCCGAGTCGGGTATGGATCTGGTATGGACCAAATGGACCGGGGAGGCCTGACCGCTGAGTGGCTAGATATGCCAAGGCTTATGGCGTGGTGGAAAGCGGCAGGCGGATAGGATTTGCACCAAAAGGCTAGGATTAGTGCGCTTTGTGGCTTGCAGTGTGCTTGGGTTTGCGTCGCTAGGAATGGCTAGATTTCCCAAGGCGGAGGAGATAGATGGAGCTGCGTGGTTGACACGTTTCGCCCAAGCGGTTTGGTACCGTAAGTTTATCTCCTTCGTATGCTGTGACCAAGCAGAAAAGAATTGATGTTCTTGGATCCAAGTGTGGGTTCAGAATGAAAGACAAGGAGTCCACGTTGTGGGAGCTCTCGACCTTGATGGTAGCCCAAGGGGAAAAGGTACCTGGGGGAGTCTACACCAAGAAGGACAAGGCAGAAATAGTATGAAGTATAAATATATGAGATGAAGGTAATGTAGAGGTGAGCGTGCCAGGTTTTGAAGCTATTCTCCGCCTAACGCAACCTTGAAAGGCAGCAGCACGCGAGGGACCATGTGGGCGGTCAGTGCTGGAACAAGCGAGATCTCAACTCGGCTTGGAGAGAAGGGAACGAGAAGGTGTTTGAGAATGGGTCTCGAATCGATCCTCAGGATGCTTCCTAGAGAAGGGCGCTGAAATTTTCTATTCGTCTCATTGGAGCAATGATGAAATGGACGGGGTCAGAGGCGATGGTGCAATCGAAGGCGTGATGGAACCCAAGGCACACTTCTCGGAAAGGCGACAATTGCAACACACCAGCCCTGCAGCTCATGCTCACACGCCCAGCATTACACCCCTAGCAATAGTCCATTGGGAGCACGGATGACGATGATGGACATGCGTTGAAGCAAGAGATCTCCAGGGTGGCGGAGAACAAGCAGCGGCTGTGGTTTCAAGCACACGAAGCATTTCTCAGAGCGACGACTCGGCGGCAAAGAGATATCGTGCGAGGTACCGAGTACAGCCAAGCCATCCAAGGGGCCATGTGGTTGTTGATGCCATCCAAAGCAAACCAAGCTTGGTGAGCACGAGAATAGACAGGTGGTGCGCCTTGTCCGACTTCAGGAATGCCCATGGCCCTGGCACCGCAGTCGCCATCAGCGAACAACGGCGGCGACCATAGATTGCAATTGATGATGACCATGATGATGATGATGTTGCTGACCCTCGTAACCACTGTCGTTCACCGGTTCGGGTCGATGGGAGTGTTCCCTCGTTTCGCCAGCCTCTTCGTGGGTAGACTTCGCATGCTCTCCGACGTCCTCGTATCTTTCGCAGCGGTGGGTGGTTAGCGGCGAACTAACTTATCACATTCGCCTCACATGGCTGCATGCGAAGGCTGGTCAATTCCATCATGTCTCTGCCCTAGAAAGGCCATCAACTCTTCTTACAGGAGCAAAATGGCGTGCTCAATGTGTCGCGGGTGCAGCGGTTGACATTTGTTTCGTCGATCAATGTGGTCCCGCTATTGCCTGCCAGGGCCCGCGGGTCTCCCGCCTGGCAATTTGTGGGCAAGGCTTGCCATCGTAGAGGAAATCTCTCGAGTCGGAGCCAATCATGGCAGCTGGTCCCCGGCGTGGGTTTGGCTAATTGCTGACGCGATTGACGCC